GACATGTTACCAATTTGTGGGGGGATGGTTCCATAAAAGAAGTTATTGTAGATATTTAAGTTGAGGAGGTTGGGGAATGAGGAGAAGCTGAGAGTTTGGAGTGTACCTTCAAGTCCATAATTTGCAAGATTTATGATGGAGACTGACTTGGATTTGTCACACTGAATTCCTTCCCATTTGCATGGAGTAGTAGAAGCTGTCCAAGTTGACAAGAGTGTTTGGCTGTGGTTGTCAAGGCTATCTTTCCACTTCAACAGAGCGTTTGCTTCACTGTCTTCAGCATAAACAGTAGCAGTGGTGGCTAAAGAAGCAACTTGGGGTAACCAGAGTGTTAGAAGGACACAAAGAATTAAGAGGAGAATCTTTGTGGACTTTCTCCTTTCAAACATGGGTACCATGGTTCAAGTATAACGGAATTCCTTTGTTGGAGATGACAGAAGTTTGAACCGGGAGATACTTATAAACGAAATAACCAAGTAGCTTGTGTCAGACATGAGTACTCTTGGTCCTTTCTGGGTGAATACATTTTCGGTGTTCAGACTTCAGATAGCTCCCTTTCCCAAAATGAATAATATATATGAAAGAAAATTACCACAAAAATAAAGATAATATAAATGTATTACTTTTTTTAGAAAAATTATGTTTATAATATTTTTTCGCTTATAATCTCTTGCAATTAAATTTTAATTATTAATTTTTGTTAATTTAATTGTTATAATTTATTTAGTCATAGTTACTAATTAATTATTAATTCTTAATAAATTATAATAATCATATTAACAAAAATTAACGGTTAAAATTTAATGATAAAATATTATAAATGAAAAAAATTATAAATATAATCTTTTTCTATTTTTTTGTATTTGATAAAAAATATACCAAATATTCGATACATCTATAATATCAAAAATATTTTTCTTTCAAGTCTGCCTCGAAGGCAATAAACATTTATCAATGGACCTTACGTGAATGAACGTTTTCCTATGGTTGGATTTTTAAATTCCTGTATGTGGTCAATGTTTCTCGCTATTCCCGTAACCTTGATAAAATATGTGCATCACTTTTTTTTCTCGTAATTACATATGCAGTACTGTGGGAAAGGATAAATGAAAAAAAAAATATTGTAAATGGACTGAGCTTGCAAATGAAATGAAAGGGACGTTTTTTTTTCTGGTTTGATATTTATTATATTAAAGAAAATAAAATTATTTTCTATATATATAAAAATATGTGAGATCATATGTGATCACGTGCACAGAAGAAAGAAAGAAAAAAACATGGGTGCCATAAATTTTTATATAAATATGAAAAAAAAATTAGTTTCTATAACATAAAATACAATAAACATTTTTTCTTTAGTTAGCAAAATAAATCAAAAAGAATAGATCACTAGAAAAAGAAGACCCAAATACAAATATAGAAAATACAAACAAAAAAAAATGACATATTGACCTAACTACTTTTTGTTTCTTTCTTCATCTTCTTTTTTATTCTTGTCTATTCCTCGTATTTGACTCATAACATAACAACCGCGTTTTTTGTCTTTAGTTGGCAAAACAAGTCAAAAGGAATAGATCAATAGAAAAGGAAGACCCAAATACAAATATAGATAATACATAAAAAAAAAAAAAAACGACATATCGACCACCTAACTACTTTTGTTTCTTTTTTCTTATTATCGAATGGATCCTTTAATTAACATGTAGGACAATCATAATAATATATGCACAAAAATTTTATTTATCTCTGCACACTTACAATAAAAGAATAAAGGAAAAAAATTTAAAGAAAATTTTAAATATATTAAAATACAAAAGAATATAAATAAAAAAAAAAAACTTTAACTTAACATAAAAAAATTACAATAGAATATTTTTCGGTCCTCAACAAAAATTACCGGCCCCAATTCATTCCTTTAGAAAAAAAAAAAGTCGACTCGTGGTCCCTAGAATTCAAAAATAGACCCAGATATTCAAAATCCTGGTCCCTCTGAAATTCAAGAAGACCCACATTAATCCCTCAAAAGGACTAACATGGGTCTATCTTTGAATTTAATGGAATCACCAGTCGATTTTTTTTTACGAGATTAAATTGGGTCCCATAATTTTTGTTGATAACCCGAAATATATTTTATTTTTATTTTTTTCAAAAAAATTGTGTGTGCACTTGCACACGCTTATACACATACAGGTCCACCATTGCATGGGTAAATTAATGATGATAAAGAAGGAGAGAAGAAAAAATATAAGGATAGAAAGTTACACAATTATGACCGTTGATTTAATTATTAATGATTAAAATCCTTACACATACATGATCATATTAAATTTCCTTTTTTTTTATTCTTGTCTGTTCCTCGTATAGTCGTATTTGACTCGTAACCATAACAACCGCTTAATAATTCATAGACATGCCAAATAATAATAAAATTTATCATTAATTAAATACATATGCCATGTGATTATAAAAAAAAAAAAAAAAAATCACCTTTTTTTTGGTAGTTAAAAAAAGGGATTTACTTCTCTCATGTTGTAGGAGAGAAGTTATCTTATGTTGTGAGATAAATTAAGTGGGGCCCACTTTTAAAAAACGAAAAAAAAAAAAAAAAAGTGAGGCACGTCTTTTTATGTGAGTGTAACATGAGAGATGAATCTTATGTAACATAAGAGTATAATTTTCCTTAAAAAAATCACCTTTTTAATGATATGGTTAGTTGTACGAAATTGACGTGCACTAGTAAGGTTGATTCGGATGAGCTTTTAAGAAAATAATGTTTTATGTATTATTTTATAGGATTCAATATTTTTATTTTGACTGTATATAATTTGTTTCTACACAGCACATTAATTTTTTTTTCTCTCTTTTTATTATAATGAGACTCATTTACTTTTTATTTTTTTGGTAAATGAGACTCATTTACTTTTAATATGAATGTTAAAAAAAAAATTCTACAATAAACGCAAAAATATGTTTCCCTAACTTATTTGGAAGATTTTTTTTTCAAAAGTATGAACTATAATGCATATCAATCAGCATCTAAAATACACTTCTAAATAAATAAATAAAAAGAGTAGTATTTTGGTTTTTTTAGAAGTCACTTCCGAAAAAGTTTCCTTTTTAATTTTTTTTTTTCAAAAATTACATTCAAACAGATACAATATACATAGAGTAAAAAGTATTTTAATTCGCTCACCAAAAAAAAGTATTTTTATTCAAAAAAAACTTCTTCAAAAGAAAAAAAGTCACTGTTTACCAAAAAAAAGCCACTTCTGTAATCTGTTGGGTATTTTTGTTTTATTTTATTTTAAGATATCAATTTTAGCAATTTGTCTTGCTTGCCTCTTCCTTTACGGATCCATTTAATATTAAATAGTGTTTAACCACTTCCACTTCTTAGATGTTTGACATCAAGTGAATGAAGTTGTTATGGACCTTAGTAAGGCTCACATCCACAAGAAGTCCAAGTAACACAAGCTCAAAGGTAAGCACTATAAATAGAGTTAAAGACCACAGGAATGATTGATCTCTCTCTAACCCTATTTTATGCAATCACAACAAGGCATACACACACCCCTTTGGCTAAGGCCGTCATATAGTGTGTAGTGATCTGTTGTCCCCAAAATACCTAATTCATAGGTATCTAGAGAGAAAGCATTAGATCTAACATCAATCACCTGACCTACGGTTAGACATCTCTGCCTCAGGCAGAACATTGGCGTCGTCTATGAGGATTCAGTCCCTACGCTTACGTGGTTGAAAGCTGTTGATCAAAATGGCGAGAACGACAAGAAGTGGGCATCGACAGCTCTCAAGATCGGATTCCAGACACCAACCTATTCCTCCGATCAAGGAAGATCCTCTGGATCATCAACAAATAGACACTGACACTGTGCACGTTAGTGATGTGCATTCTGATTCAGCATCAACTCCGGCTGTCAATTCGAATGCCCCATATGTGCAGGGGCTGCAACCGATGGAAGAGCAGGTTGTAGATGCCATGCAGATACCAAATGGTGCAGCTAACGATCCTCGGGTGACAGATCTGGCTGTTGCTGCGGTGCTTCGAAGAATGGAGGAGATGGAGAAAAGGCATGAGCTCCAAAGGGCAGAAGGTGCTAGGAAGATTCGAGAGTTGGAAACTCGACTAGGTCGAATCTCTAACCCGGATCCTACACAAGCTATGACGAGGGTCATGACCGACCTAAGAATCACGAATCCTCAACAGAACAATGATCGAACCCGGGCTCAAACGAGAAATGCTGATGGTCGACCTCAAAGGATCATCCTTGACCCGGTTCGTAATTAGGAACCTCGGCACGAGGAAGGCCGAGGTGGCGGAAGAGATACAACAAGGCGGGGAGAGAGCCCCCAGCCTTTAGATAACAGACATCCACTCAGAAACCCGGACGATGTGTCCGGGGTCTACATGAGAAAGTATCACAGGGGGCAATATAACGATAGTCCCTTCATGGACGATATCGTTGATGCACCCTTTCCAGAAAACCTGAATTTATCAGAGCTTCTCAAATATGATGGAATGCAGGATCCCCAAGTCCACTTGGATGCCTTTGATACGGCCATGTACATCAAGGGAATAGAAGAGCTGTTGATAACACGACTCTTTGCGACTACGTTGACAGGAGCGGCTCAAACATGGTTTTCATCGTTACCAGCGGGATCCATAAGATATTTTGAAGAATTTGGAGGAAGATTCTTGCTGAATTTTGCCACTAGCGAAAAACAGCCAAAGTCAGAATTTGCGCTGGGAAAAGTAAGACAGCAACCTGGGGAAACCCTGCAAAAATATTTGGACCGCTTCAAAATGGCGGTTCTGCAGGTTCCAGGGCTGTCTGAAAATGTTCACCTGCACCTAGTAATTGCGGGGCTCATGGCTCTTCTACGTTGGCTAAGTCCATATACAAAGACCCAGTCCGAACTCTGGTAGAGTTCACAACACGGTCGAAGAAGTATCTAGAGCTCGAACAAAGGAGATCGAGAATATGGATCAGAGGCAGTACCCCGGCCAAACAGAGAAACCTGGAAGTCGGAAGCAAAATGATTTCCGGGGTAAAAGACAATATGACAAAATCTCAGCTAGAGGAAGAGTTGATAAGTACGCACCTCTAAATTCATCTAGGTCACAAGTCTGGAGGGAAGTAGCCTCCACAGAGATGAAGAAAGTAGATAGACCTCGGCCATTGTTGAACCCAGCCGGGTTAGACCAATCTCGGTATTGCGCATTTCATGATGGCCCTGGACACACTACTGATGAATGTTGGGATCTGAGAGATGCAATTGAAAAGTATATTAGAGACGGGAAACTGCGTCAATATCTGATAAGGACTCAAGGATGGAAGAACAACAGGAAGAGAAGAGGAGGCCGACCCATGAGCCCGCCACGAGAAAAAAGATTCAAGGAGGAAGGCCGAGGTAAGAAGCCGGCCAAAGAAGAAGACGAATTCATGGAACCAGAGTTTGAAAGCAATGTGATTAGCGGGGCTTTCGGTGGGGGAGGTGATACCATGAATGCCAGGAGAAAATACTTGAGAGAGGTGCTTTCGATACAAGAACAATCTAAGTTTAAACAAGCTGAACCAGAGCCGCCACTACTGTACTTCACGAAGAAAGAGTTGGAGGATGTGGTGCCAGGATATGTTGATGGGTTAGTTATTACAAGAACGCTAGTCAACTGCAAAGTCAAAAAGATATTTGTGGACAACGGAAGCTGTGCCGAGATAATCCTATGGCAGGCATTCCAAAAAATGAATCAAGATGAGGAATATTTGAAGCCCTGCAACACGGCTTTGATTGCATTCAATGGCCATAACACCATCCACAAAGGGTATATTGATCTAAGGCTCACTTTGGGAACCAAAGAGGCATACTAATCTGAAAGGGTAAGGTTCATTGTAGCCGACTTCCCTTCGGAATATAATATGATATTGGGAACACCGACCATCCACAATTGGGATATGTTGGTTTCCTCCAAACATCAAAAACTTAAGATGATTGGTAAGCAGAACACAGTAATCACTATTGCCAGGGACCAGAAGGAATCTCGAGACTGTTATTTCAAATCGGTTAGGGCAGTAGAAAGTAATCCCAAGCCTTCAGCCGGGATGAAAAGTGGTAGCAAACAGGGTGGCTCAAGCAAGGAGGAAAAGACGCCGGTCAACATGGTGGAATTGGACATAAGGGATGATACTTAGATCCCGAGGCCTAAACCTGACGGAGAATTGGAAGAAGTGACCAATGGAGAGGAGGGACAAACTGCAAAGATCGGTAAGGGGTTGTTGAACGAGGTGAAAGTTTAACTTACCGAATGCTTAAGGAAGAGTAAAGACGTTTTCGCTTGGAAGTCCTCAGAAATTCCTGGGGTAAACCCTGCTTTCTGTTGTCACAAGCTTGCAGTGTACCCGGGATCTAAGCCAATAGCTCAGAAGAAAAGGAAGCTCAGCCCGGAGCGTCGGCAGGTGTTAGAAGATCATGTAAAAGAACTGCTGGAAGCAAGGTTCATCAGGGAAATACAATACACAACTTGGCTTTCCAACGTGGTAATGGTCAAGAAGCCAAATGGAAAATGGAGGGTTTACACAGATTACACTGATTTGAATAAAGTATGTCCTAAGGATGCATACCCTATGCCTAACATAGATCAACTGGTTGACAGTTCATCCGGGTTCCAGATGTTGTCCTTCATGGATGCCTATTCGGAGTATAATCAAATCCCGCTACATCTGGAAGACCAAGAAAAAACTGTTTTCATTGTAGAAAAGGAGAACTATTGTTACAATGTGATGCCCTTTGGGTTGAAAAATTCAGGGGCCACATACCAAAGAATGATGAATCAAGTGTTCGCAGACCAGCTGGGCAAAAAGTGTTGAGGTATACATAGACGACATGATAGTCAAGTCGACTAATTCAGCAGTGCACATGGGAGATTTGGAGCCGACCTTTGAAAAACTAAGACGATACAACATTCAGCTAAACTCGGCTAAATGTGCTTTTGGGGTCCTTACAGGAAAATTTCTTGGATTTATGCTGACTCACAGGGGCATTGAAGCTAATCCAGATAAGTGTAGAGCCGTGCTGGAGATGAGAGCCCCGACGAATAAGAAAGAGATACAGCAACTGACAGGAAGGGTAGCCTCCCTCACTAGATTTTTACCTCAGTCTGCAAAAACGGCACTACCTTTCTTCAAGCTACTTCGAAAAGAGGTGCAGTATGGGTGGACTTCGGAATGCGAAGCCGCATTCCAGGAGATTAAGAAACAGCTGGCTTCACCACCAATATTAATCAGACCGAGAGAATGGGAGGCATTGATAATGTACCTTTCTGTGGGAGATGTAGTTGTCAGCTCGGTCCTAGTTCAAGAAAACGAGGAAGGGCAGCAACCGATCTACTTTGTGAGTCGTCTCCTACAGGGTGCGGAACTCAGGTACCAGAGGTTGGAGAAGGTGGCCTTCGCCTTGCTAATCTCGACTAGGCGACTCAGAGCATATTTTCAAGGGCACCAGATTGTGGTCAGATCGGACTTGCCAATTCGGCAGATCCTTCACAAGCCCAATTTAGCGGGAAGAATGATGACTTGGGCTGTGGAAGTGATATAGTATTCGAAAGTCGTAAAGCAATCAAATCCCAAGCATTGGCAGATTTTATTAGGGAGCTTACTTCAATCCAAATGGAGCATTCAAACAGCCCGGACACATAGAAATTATACGTGGACGGATCTTCTAACTCAAAAGGCAGTGGGGCTGGGGTCATCATCGAAAACCCGGTAGGAATATCGGTTGAGTACTCTATGCAAATGCAATTTGAAACATCAAACAACCACGTGGAGTACGAGGCCTTCGTAGCCGACCTACAGCAGGCTAAGGAACTCGGAGCACGGAAGCTGCAGGTTTACAGTGACTCTCAATTGGTTACTTCCCAAATTGAAGGAAGTTATCAAGCTAGGGGACCATTGTTGACAAAATATCTGGACTCTGCAAGGCAGCTAATAGCGGAGTTTGAGAAAGAGGAGTGATGTGCCTCTAGCAAGTGTGGTTTTTCCATATTAAAATTGATAAAAATTGATTCATAAAAGAGCAACTTAAATACATATTTGCTAATTATATTGATTCTTTATTTTCAATTATATTTCTCACCTATTGGTTGTGTTTTTACAGGAAAAAGAAGCGAAAATTATAAAAAGCCTATTAACGCAATTCCACACGGTGCAGCACACTACAAGTTCCAGTAATATGGCGCGGAATGGCGGCACACTGGCGCACACCCGCGCCAATTTTCGGATTTCACAGCGGTGTTTTGCAAGTGGCGCCAACCGGCGCCAATTCCATGTTGCATAGGCCAAATTCCAGGAAAATGACGCCACTTAGCGCCAAACTCATGCTAAGTGGCGCCAAAGTAAAGTAAAAGTGGCGCAAACCAGTGCCCAAAATGACAAGAAAGTTGGCGCCAAGTGGCGCCCAAAATACAAGGAGTTGGCGCCAACTGGCGCCAAGTTACGATTAATAGGTTCCAACTTTTGCAATTTGCACAGAGGCGCGGCGCAAACTGGCGCCGGGTTACGAGAAAATAATACTGTGCTGCGCGAAGGGTATTTTTGGAAGAAAGAAAAGAGGCATATAAATAGAATCCTCATGACAGAATTAGGTATTCAGACCTATTCTTCTGAAGAGAGACGACGGCGGTGCTCAGAGAGGATTCCTGGGATCAAGTTCTTCTTCTCCTTTCTCCTTAATTTTATGCTTTTGAATATTGGATTATTTTAGCCATGATTATGTTTGGCTAGTTTATCTTTTATTGTAGTTAGGGTCACGAGCCCTATGTGAACCCTTGTTACGATGGATTGATTTAGTTTTACTCATTTATATAATTATCTTTGTCTCTACCTTGTGCGTATTTTCTATTTTCTTTATTAGAACTGATCAATCTGATAGTTGAGAATAGTTTGAGGGTTAGAACCCTAGATAAGAATATTGGGGTTTTGATCTTGAAAGGGGGTAGGATAACAATTGATATGCATGCTAGGAATAGATGTGTATTTAATTGCGGATGCTTAAATTATTGCGTTCATTGCTTAATACCATGAGGAACATTGCAAGGAATTGGGGTTCCAATTGGGGATTAAAGGGTTAACCTTGTAAGGAATTGAGGGTTAACTAATAAATATTCTTAGATAATAATTTATCTGAGTAATTATATGAATAAGTATTGTGAATCAATTCAAAGTAAGAAGTGGGGATCATAAGGTGAGTGCGCTCTAGCTACAATATTTTTCTCATATTTTTAAAATCAATTCTCATTGTTATTGTTTTATTTCTCTTAAATAAAAATTTAAAAACAAGTATTTACTTTTATTTCATATTGTTACTCAAAATCAATTCGCAATTTTTCCATACAACAAACCGAGTTTTCCAACTTAAGGGGACTGGTTATTGTAGTACTTGGTTTACAATCCCTGTGGAGACGATACTCTACTTACTTTCTATATTACTTGTGCGATCGGTATACTTGCCGGAGAGCATCAAGGAGGTTAGTCATATTTCAAGAAGCGAAAACAGCAGGACAGACATATTATCCAAATTGGCAAGTACCAAAGGATGGGGAAACCATAGGATGGTGGTTGAGCAAAGTATCCTAGAACCCACGTGTGTCATGCAGATATCGGAGGTAGATGATTGGCGTTACACCATCATCGACTACATAGAAAATGGGACGTTACCTGTAGGAAATGAGGAAGCTAGGAAGCTGGTTAGAGATGCAGCACTATACACCATGGTGGAAGGATAACTTTACAGAAAAGGGGACTTATTCCCCTTTGTTGAAATGTTTGAGTTTGGATAGGGAAAAATACGTTTTGTCTGAAATCCATGAGGGAATCAATGGCCAACATGTTGGAGGCAAGGCTTTAGCCCGAAATGCACTTAGAGCCAGTTATTTCTGGCCATCTATGAGTAATGATGCAAAGGAACACGTGCAAAAGTGTGACCAATGCCAGAAGCACGGAAAGAACCTGCTAGCTCCCCCAGAAGAGTTAAGTTTGATCACAGCACCATGGCCGTTCTTTAAATGAGAGATGGATCTTTTGGGCCCATTTGCGGCAGCTGAAGGCCAGTTAAAATGGTTGATAGTGGTTGTTGATTACTTTACTAAATGGATAGAAGCAGAACCGGTGGCCACCATCACTTCGGCTAGGATTCAGCGTTTCTTTGAGAGAAACTTGATTTGCAGGTTCGGGATTCCCGCCGAGATAGTCACAGATAATGGAACCCAGTTCACGAGCAAAGCCTTCTAGGAGTTAATGGAAAACCTTCATATTCGACATCGATATGCATCGATAGAGCATCAAACTAATGGTCAAGCAGAATAAAAGGATTGAGGAGGAGAATAGAGCAGTCTGCCAAAGGAAAATGGGTAGAAGAGTTATACTATGTACTCTGGGGGTACAGAACCACGATGCAGACGTCTATCGGGGAAACCCCATTCAGGTTGACATATGGATGTGAGACCATGATCCCGGTGGAATTGGGAGAGCCGTAATGGAGAAGAGTCCAAGCTCTATCTCAGACAGAGGAAGAAAATAATAAAAAAGTAGCAATGGAACTATATCTGATAGATGAAGCTCGAGTTATGGCTCACTGCAAAAACTTCGCGGCAAAGCAGCTAGTTGCTAACCGGTTCAATAAGAAGGTGAAGCCTAGATCGTTCATAGTAGGAGATTTGGTACTTCGAAGAGCAGACGTTGGAGGGCGAAACGCGGCTGAAGGAAAGTTGGCTCCAAAATGGGAAGGACCATACATAATTAAAGAAAAATTGTTGGAAACTCCGCAAGGGAAGAGCATTAGAAGGACATGGAATGCAGACAAGGTGAAGAAATATTTT